TTCTTACTTTTAAAAGACATTCTTTGTTACTTTTTTTCCCCGCAGTTGATAAAGTCCGTGTCTTTCAGAAACGCGCGTGTACCTAAGTCAGTGTAAAAAGTCACGATAAAATGCTAGCTGGAGTCAGAGGATCGGCGTTATACTGGTGGGGCCGGTGGTGGGCGTGCTGGGGTGATGTTGGGATGAGTTTCTCTTTGATTGGGCAATGGGGGCCTGTAAAGAGAAGAGAAGAAAAAGAATATTACCAATCAGTTCATAATGTAGACAGAGATGGACAATTGGACATGTCCCTGTTAGTGACCAGAGGCACTCTATTCTGACGGGGGAGGTCATCTATTCTGACAGGGGAGGTCATCTATTCTGACAGGGGAAATCATCTATTCTGACAGGGGAGGTCATCTATTCTTACCATACCCTCACAGAGGGGCTCTGCTGTCCTTTGCTAGTGTTGGACTACTAATGTGCTCTATAAGAGAGAAGCTGCTGCCTACTACCATCCACCATGGTATGTACAGTGAGATAACGGCTTGGCCTAGCTGTGAAATACAAAAGAAGAAAGTCTACGCTGGTCACATCCAAACCCTAGAGGGATCATTGGAATCAGTAGGTAACCATCAGGCAAGCATTAGTGGTTTTCCATAGACTGCCTGGATGCATTTCACACATGTTAAGTGTTTGAAGTGCTTCAAGACTGCGTTTGCCTGCCGCTGGAGTTTGGCTATTGATTCTAATAAACCCTCCCATGCTTGGCTATGACTAGCGAGGACCTTCCTCATCCGCATTGCCCTTCATATCAGTTGTATACTCTGGACCCAAGCCTCAACTACATGACAAGGCCAATCCTATGCTTTTTCTCAAAACATTTTTATTTCAATGTATTACCCAATACAAAACCCCCAAAAACGTATATTTTAGGGTAAGGCCCGCTTTAATTAATAAAAATACAAAAAACACTGGCGGTGTCTACTCAATACAGCTGCATAGACTTCTATGGGGCTGCATCCCAAGGCCGGAGACCAAGAGAGACATCCCCATAGAAGTCGACCGCACTTACCGGGATGGCGTGTGTTGAGGCGGTCTTCCCACATACGAAGGGACAGTATAGGCATTCTGTGGATGTGACTGTAAAAGAATAAATCAGATTATATTTAATATTTAGGATTTATAGAGGTTTCTGGCTGTGTCTATTCAATACAGCTGCATAGACTTCTATGGTACTTCGCACAGAAAATCGTTGCAATGACAAATGTTTCGGCATTCTCGTTTATTTCTTTTGTTTGTATTCATATGACACACAATGACAGCTTTTTGGTTCAGTCCATCATTCTACTGTTTTCAGAAAAAGAAATGAGGCCTTTAAAAGAAAGAAACACAGTCCCTACAGTCACACATGGTGGAGGTTCACTGATGGTTTGGGGTTGCTTTGCTGCGTCAGGCACTGGATGTCTGGACTGTGTGCACGGCATTATGAAATCTGAAGACTACCAAAGAATTCTGGGGGGTGCAATGTGGGGCCCAGTGCCAGAAAGTTGGGTCTCCGTCAGAGGTCATGGGACCCAATGCACAGGTCAAAAAGCACCAAGAAATGGTTGCCTACAAATCGCTGGAGAGTACTGGACTGACCAGCGATGAGTCCAGATCTGAACCCCATAGAGCTACTGTGGAGAGATCTCAGAACAGCGGTTGGGAGAAGGAACCTTCCGATCTGAGAGACCCGGAGCAGTTGGCGAAAGATGAGTGGTCCGAAATTCCTGTAGAGAGGTGTAAGAACTCATTGATGGTTACAGGAAGCCATTGATTTCAGTTATTGTTTCCAAGGGCTGTGCTACCAAATATTCCTTGAGGGTGCCAATAATTTTGTCCACTCCATTTTTGGAGTTTTGCGTGGAATGGGTTAGATTTGGCTTTTTTTTTTTCTCCACTTTTTTGTGTCATACCAATACAAACAAAAGAAATCAACATGAGAATGCCGAAAACATTTGTAATTGCAGCATGGTGCATTATCTGACAGAAATGCAGGGGTGCCAATATTTTTGCCCATGACTGTATCTATACCATAGTTGGAATATAGTTTTGAATTAGTGCCCACACTTTGCAGAGGTGACTTAAAGGGGCAGTGCGGCTCGACATTGCGTCAAGAGCCCGGGGAACTCCAAGTACCTGAAATCTAATAGGTTCATGGTACAGCACAGTGCAGTAGCATCTTCTCATGACATTGAGGCTACTTGGCATACCCCGGGATCTCGCAGGATGGATGGTGACACCACCCTCAACTAGGTGCTGCTCGCAGAAGCAACGAAGGTATGTTAACATTCTTCTACCTACAGGTAGCGGGGACCACCCTGAACGAGCAGACCTTGCTATTTAGGTGCACTTAGAAATCAGCAATAGCTCCCAACACCACATTATCAAGATATGGCTGAACGTCGACATGCTGACGGCGACCATCAATGAAATCCCAAAACTAGAAGGATCTCAGAGGAAAAACCGCCCATTCCCTTACAGCCTAAAAGACTCCGAGTTACAATGGAAATATCTGTCTCTCTAGTACAAAACCACTTACAGGTTCATGAGTTGGTGGGTGGATGTTTCTGTTGGGTCCTATGGGTGGCACATTTCTTGGAGGGGCACTAGAAGGTTGTCCACCACCAGGAGGAACATTTTGTGGATTCCTTGGGGGCCCCGATGTTGGCGGAATCCTTGGAGGTTGTCCATGCTGAGGATTCCTTGTCTGACCTGTTGGAGGACCCTCCATATTTGCTGCATTTCTCTGTGGTGGGTTCCTTGGAGGACCACTTCTACCGGGGGCGTTGTGCGGTGCTTGCCTTTCTCCATCTTTTTTCGGTCTGTCGATTCTGTACAGACAAAACATTCACACAACTTTCCCACATTTAATCCAACTGGAGTGTAACATCAGCCAAAAACGTTTTTTTTTCCCATGTATGTTGGATAGAGTGGAGGAGAGTCAGAACTTTTATTGCTTCCCCTCACTTTCTGGCCGGTGACAACATTTTTACTGTATTCCAGAATCCTGCTGCACTCCTTACTGGGTATCCCTGTTGGCGTGGGTGCTCGAAATGACAGTGGATGGCGCCGCCAATACTGAAATTTAGGGATGCACCGATACTAGTATCGATATTGGTGCCGATCCTGAGTATTTGGGCAAGTACTCGTACTCGCCCAAATGCTCCGATGCCTAGCACGAGTACTTCCGGTATCAGGAAGCCGGGCAGCGCGTCATTACACGCTGCCCGGTTTTGCGATTGACCGGAAGCTGGCCTCGTGAGGTAAGGTTACCTTACCTTAGTATGTGCAGCCTGTCACCCCCGGGGGCCTCTCCAGCGAGAACGTGGCCTTCGTCCGGTACCCAGCCCGAGCCGTCCAATCAGGAAGCCGGGCGCCGTCTAATGACGCGACGCCCTGCTTTCTGATTGGCCGGGAAGCTGGCTTCATGCTCCCTCGTCATGTCATGACAAGAGAGCATGGAGCTGGCCTCACGGCCAACCAGAAAGCAGGGCGTTGCGTCATTACACGGCGCCCAGCTTCCCGATTGGCCGGCTAGACGGCTCCGGCTGGGTACCGGACGAAGGGCACGTTCTCGCTGGAGAGGCCCCCGGGGGTGACAGGCTGCACATACTAAGGTAAGAGGGGACTTTCTTGTTAATCGGGAAGTCGGGTGGCGAGTCTTTACACGCTGCCCGGCTTCCCGGCTAATCAGGAAGCCAGGTGGCGAGTCATTACATGCCACCTGGCTTCCTGAATGGGACTTCCGTTACTCGGTCATTGGTATCGGCGAGTACCGAAAAAAAATTGTCGGTACTCGGTACCGAAATACCGGTATCGGTGCATCCCTACTGAAATTTGTTAAAGATGTCACCAGCACACCATAGTGAAGTGGAGAACACGTCTGATTATTGACGCTTCATCTCAAAACAAACACAGGGTCCCCTTCATCAGGTTTGAAATTACATTTTATCGTCATTTCAAGCCTGATGGAGGTAGACCCAACGTGGCCCCGAAACGTTATTTGTTTTGACATGAAGCGTCAATAAACAGACGTGTTCTTCACTTCAATATGGTGTGCTGGTGACATCTTTAACAACATTTTTACTGTGTCACGAAGGGAAGGAAATCTATGATGGGGATTCAGATGGCAATTAAGAGCGGACGCTGGCTCTGGTGATCCCATAATTTGGTAAGAAAAAAAAAAAAGGCTGCCTACTGTGTGTCTGTTGTGGATTCCCCCTCACTTCCTGTCCTTGTGGCAACATTGTCACCTGAGCAGGAAGTGAGGGGAGACCTCCTCGATGGGAAGTAAAAACTGAAGACTCTAACTCTCCGCCAGTCCATGCAAAACAAAAGAAAACTCTGAAGATACACTGAACCACTAGAGTCCCGGCCGCCATTTTGAAATGGAGCTGCAACAGCAGCGATTCACCACAGAGCAGTTTTAAAACAGTGGGCGGTCTCAGAGGCACCAGCGCTGGCATTGCTGGTCGTCAATGACAGCTGGGGTAGAGCACTAAGCCCAGGAGCTGAACTCCAGGGTTGGTATTGCATCAACCAGTTCATTTGTTACTCACTCGTTCTCCCGAGATCTCTTCTTCCGGAGGAATCTCTGTTTCAGGCTGTTCCTTTTGAAAAACACGAAGCCTCCCAGTGCCAGAAGAGGGACGATCAGGAAGAAGAAGATCAGCAGGCCGTCCCGGAGAGACGTGTCCTTATCTGTGATGAGAAGACAAAGGAGGTTCACTGCTGGGGGACAAGGACTTCACGCGCGTCCACCTTTTATTTCCGGCGTATCACTTATCAAAGTGTTTTATATATGGTGACCGGACAAATCTAACTTTGAAGCTTAATCTGCTTATATTTTTCCTGATTTCCCTCCTCATGCTAATAACATTTGTTAATAAAACCTTTCCATCTTCAGTACATACTTTACTTTAGACCCGGTGATGTCATCGTTGGGTCTCTGTGCTCATCTATTAAATGCAGGCAGATCGTGGCTGGTGGGAGGGGCCGACTGGGTGCTGTACAGAGCTTCCTGAATACATTACGGCAGCCTGCCTCGGTACTTCTTTCAAGAGCCCTCATTCCTGATGCAAGCAGTGGGCTGTCTCTTGGGAGGAGTTATGCAAATATAAAAATGCCTTGATGGGTGGATGTCAACCTGGAGGAGTGGGCGTTCCTAGGCACGGAGCATTAGCATGCAGATCGTCCTAGGTAACACCCACATGTCCATGACTGAAAGAATATGTTCTGATAGGAGGAGAAGTGAGCAGAGGAATGACTTTATCATTATGCTCTGGCTCTTTCATTGTCCAATATGTATATGCCCAACAAGCTTATAGATAAACTCTGAACTGATCAAGACTATATATTAAAAGAGTATGTCAAGCCAATTTTTTTAGGGTTTAGATAGAGTGGGGGAGGGGTTAGAACTTTTTTTTTACTGCTATCCAGAGCTCTGTTAAGGTGGCCATACACTTTACAACCATCGCAAGACCTTAGTCTTGCGATGGTTGTAAAGTACTTAAAAAAACGTACGATCTGCCCATCTTGGACAGGCAGATCGTACTTGCGATCATCGCAAGCCCGCCCCCTTGAGGAGCGGGCTTGCGATGACTGCAATGAGGGGCGGGCTTGCAAGGACGGCAAACGGGCAGTGTGCGCGTGCGCACACCGGCCCGTTCGTCAGTTGTCGAACCAGCAGGCCACTCACTCGCAGAGAATCGTACGATTCCCGGCGGGTTTTCCAGCCTGCTTGTTCGATGGAAGACGTGCGACCGTACAGTAGAAACGGTCGCACGCCTTCCATACACTGTACGATTCTCGTACGATCGCGGGATTTCCCGCGATTCTCGTACGAGAATCGTACAGTGTATGGGCACCTTTAGAGAGATTACGGATTCCCCACATTCAGATATGATGCCGGTGAGGGACAGGGAGGCCAGACATGTGAGAATATAAGTTCTTTAGCAGGTATTTCACGAAATATGGGAAGGGAGGGGTTTAGGTTTTCCTCAGAGATGGGTTTTAAACAGTCCAAAATGATCATACCATTATACGTGGGGCCGCTGTCAATGCTTCCGCCATAGCCCTTGTTCTTGCAGTCAGGGAAAGCCCAGCCCTCATTACAGTGGCAGTTCTTGTTGCTGTTGCAAACCTGAAAGAAAAGAAAAAAAAAGAAACCCCCATTAGTCCTGCGCGTGCACGAACGTCTGCTCAGATGACTATAAAATAATGCGAGTATTGAACCCATTGCTGGCCGGTCTTCAGCAGTTCCTGTTGCCCGATCCTGTGATTCTGCTGACCCGTGTTTGGCTGAGGTTTACATTCCTGACCTCGCTCCTGACTACCCATTTGGCACCTTGACTTGGCATCTGATCTCGGCTTGTGACCCTGACTCTGCTGCACCTACTGATTCAGCGTTGCATCTCCAATCCAGATCCACCGTGCATGCCCCCGGCTTGTGACCTCCACTATGATCCTGATCTTCCAGTGGCTCCATTCAGGCTCTGCAACCTTGACTACGTGATTTGCCAGCCAGCTCCGGCCACAGCCTCACTTGACCATTCAGTCTGCTTCTGGTCCTCATCTTCAGGTCATTGCACTCAAGTTCCGGTACAGAATCGGCACAAGCCACTGTACCGGCACTCGTGCTTTCCTGTGTCCTCACTGCTCCTGTCTCCACCTCCAGGGCAGTCGGACAAGTGGTGCAAGAGTAGCCCCCTATTCAGTCTCCCGACAGGTACCTAATTGAGCCAGTCACAAGATCACTGCTGCGGATTTCATGTTTTAGGGTGGCTCCATTGCCTTTCAGGGTTATATGGAGTCACCCTTGCATGCACGCATCCAAGCTTACAGTCCCTGCGCTGTGTGCGTCAGCGCAGCAGAGTCAAACAGAGTTTACTACGACTTTAACCACTTTGGTACTGGAGCATTTTTCTTGTTTTTCACAAACATGTTAAAAGCTGAATTTTAACCAATTTTTATTTATCTTATTATTTCTTACCTTAACACCTTTTCATTTATTTAATCTTTCACTTAACTTTATTGCTATCACAAAGGGGCTAACAAGCCCTTATGTGATAGCATTTAGAGGGGAAAGGTTCTTGTTATGGAGACATCAGGAGTCCATTAGATTCCTGATGTCTCCCCTGCCCTCCAATACAGACCATCAAGCAGAGGAATGTGATTGGTCGCCTGTGTAGCCGGCACTTCAGCCGACTTCTGACAGCTCTGAAGCAGGACGCGCCTCCTGCTTCATTCACCACATTGGACATTTCTTGGTCTGCTCCTGCTCAGCTTTCTGACACTATTTGCTATGGTCCTGGGGCCCCCCAAAGTAGGGGGGCAGCACATTCACAGGCAAGCATCACCTGCTGAAAAAAATGAAACCTAAGATCATGACTGCAGCAGGTACATCTGCTCCCCTTCCTGACACTGCTTGCCAAGGTCCCGGGGCACCCCAGAGTAG